AGAAAGAAAGAAAGAAAGAAAGAAAGAAAGAAAGAAAGAAAGAAAGAAAGAAAGAAAGAAAGAAAGAAAGAAAAAGGAAGCACTGAATGTCATATTAAGTATTTACTACCAATCCACATTACTGTTACAAGGATAAGTGGCTATTTGTAAAGCTCCTAGCAATGACTGGCACTTAGTAAGTGCTCCAAATATGTTAATCATTATTAGATTGACTATTATTATTAGCTGTAATTTGTGTAATGTAATCCATACCACCCTTCTTTAACTTCACCTCCTTCTAATCTACTTCCACAAACTGAAGAAACATGTACCAAAAAAAAATTAAATAGCATAAAATAAAGGTGTGTTTAATGAATATTAAGAAAGTCCAGTATAGTATAGCTATGAGTTCCAAACTGAATGAATTTTATTAAGTGTTAAATACAGAATATGCCCCACAAAGATGGATTGTGTTGAATTAAAGTAAATAGTAGTGATAAAATGTGCCCAATCTCAGTTCTGGAGACTCACTAATCTGACCTTCCATTCTCAGTTCTAGAAGGAACTCCTTTCCATAATCATGAAGCTATCATTCTGAAACCCTCCTTAAAACATTATCTGCAGTGAGATAACATTCCTTGCAAGTGGCTATTGTTGCAACAAACTGTCACCTTTTATCCATTATCACAGTGGAAGCAACCCACAACAGATCTCAGAAAATCCTTAGAGTAGGACAGGGTCATGGAATTAGTGACTCCCTTGGTGAGAAGCCAAAGACTCACATCAGCCTAACAATGATACAGCTGTTGTAATTTATCAAATAAATGCTCGTTTCTTGTATCCCCACTAAAGCTTCTTCAGCTATCAGTCTGCCATCCTAACCATTAGTGTTACATTACTTTATAAATATTTTTGGATAATGAATCAAAAATTCATAAGGCTGAGTTTACACAAATAAGAACTATGTGCTCATCCCTCTCTCTGCCTGGAGAAGGGGAAGGGAGCCAGGCTGGGCTGAGATAGTGGGGATTCTCCTTACAGCTCATTCAGATACCTTTAATTGGCCATCTTCAGTGGGGAGAAGGGGCAATTGTGAAGCCTTCTTCCTCCTGTTTCAGAGTATATAATTCTTTAGTGAATTCATAAATGATAAGGGGAGAAGATATATGTGAATGTACTAGACCTGTCTCAGTAGAAGTCAAGCAGAGGGCCCAAAACCAGAGAGTACAGTCAGGAGAGAAATCTAGAATGACTGTGGAAGGAATAGAGTCCTACCAAGCAAATGTCAAAACGTGCTAACATCATGAGAAATGAATACTTGCCTCTGAGGTACTAAGTAAACATGATGCAAACAAAGGGAGAGGATAGGAAGCTACAGGCACCAGGCTCTTTATACAAAGTGAGTGGTAAAGAGCCTCCAAATAGTAATATGACAGAACAGAAATAATGAAAACCCAGAAAGTCAGTCAAAGAAGTCTTTCTATCATGATAACTATGTAAGCAAGGGGATATCTAGGTACTCATTTAAATGCAAATGTTTAAAAGCTACTTCTGACATTAATGAGAAAAATCCTTGAAACTCAGTAGTAAGTAATTTTCATATATATTAAATACTTTATTACTTAAATAGGCAGATAATTGTGTACTTACATTTTAAGGAAGGCCTTAATGTTTTATATTCCACTATTATTATCAGGTAAAATAATAAAAATCTATTTTCTCTTGTGGTTGTGCTAATGGAACAATAAAAGCATCATTTGCCATTAGTGCTAAAGCAGAGTGGTTCAAGTAATATTGTCTCTATAATATAGATATTAGAGTCAGGATGTCTTTGTGCAGAGCTATTAAAATGGCTGATAAATTCCGGGCCAACAATTAATTTGACTTTTCCCCCTCTAATTTGGCCAGCTCATTGACTAAAGGGATTTAATCAACCAAGCATCTCAATCATATATGGACAGGAAAGGGGTCATCAAATCATATCCACTCCTTCCCTTAAAAAAGAGCAAATATGGCCAAATCAGATAATGTATTATTATTAGAAAGTAAATATATTAAAGTTATAAAAATCAATCTCCATGAACACGAATGAGAGAAATCCTTGGCTCAAAAATTCAGCTATTATGTACAGTTAAAAAGGTTAAGATAAACTCTGCCTGCTTTGGCCCTGAATCTTCATAAAGTGATTGAGGCCATTTAATTCATTGTCTAGATCCTTCACTTGATTGGTGTGAGTGGAATTCTTTAAAGACAAGAGCAGAAAAACAAGAAAAGTATATGGAAAAAATACTTAAAAATTATAAATCGTATATTTTATAAGATTTTAAATGACAGACGAAGGAAAATTAAGGTAAACTTTGCTGACATTTTCCTTTACTTATAAAAAGAATCACAGCATAGTAGTATAAATGCAGAAATAAGTTTCCAAATTCTGAAAGCAAAATTAGTTTGTTCCAGTGCTTACAAAATAGATAATTAGATTGCCTTTACTATTACAATAGTAGTCTCATCAGTAAGTCAGGTATTCTTAATTTTCTGTACAATTAAACAAATATAACTTTGTCATGAATTCATGCAGAGGAGAATATAACCCTTGCCAAAAAAAAAAATGCACAAGAAGAAAATAAAGATCCTTTGTTTTACACATAGAAAAAAAAATATGTTCTTTCCATTCCCTAGTGAGAAACTAGTATATTTTAAGTGTAAATAGTACTATCAGTATTAAATTAAATTTAAATCCCTTTCTGGAGACAGCAATAATTTCTAAAATACATTTAGTTTACAGTAGACGCCTTTGTTAGTTTGTGCACAGTTGAGTCATGAGCACGTGTGTGAGTTGCTTTATGAATCCTGGTGGTGTATTCAGAGTGCTTAAGGCAATCTCTGAATATAGGAGCTCAAACATTTGTAAATATAAAAAGATTAAATATTAAAACATTATTTTGAAGGAGCATTAAGGATCTGACATACTGCAGTAAAGACCAGTACTCTGGCTAATGAAGACTTGAGAATCGCTACCTCCTCTTCTAATTGAAAATTCATAACCACCTGCTTTGTGCTACTGCCTCAAACTTGTTTTCCTTTGATGTCCATTTATTTAGTTACTTTCCTCCAATTATTAATATGGTTTCTCATATACGTAATCTTTCTTTTATAAAATTGAAAACAAACTTAGGAGCATGTAATATCAGTTCATTACTTAAGCAATCTCTCTGGAAGATAAATTATACAGAAGTGTTTACATCATTTACATATGTGTAGCTTTACTTGAAAATCTTTACTCTTCTTGATACCATGAATCATCTCTGGTAAAAGCTCTGGTCTTGTGATCAAATACACTGTAGTGCATTTCAAAAAGGATATTATATAACCATTAGATGCTAATAGCTTTGTAGTAAATGTTTCCATGTGTCCTTCAAACTATCTAAATTTATGGTTACCCTTTCTGTGTAATCTGAAATAAATGTTTCATCTAAAACAATAGATAATATAGATATTAAAAACTTCATTTGAAAATTTTAGCATAAAGGGTTTATGATACTTAGGCTTACCAGTGTCATATTCTGAACATACTCATCTCAGTCATAAACCCATAAACAAAAGTCAAATGACATGAAAAATTGTATTTTTCTTTTTATTTATGTGTTCCTCATTTTGAAATGAGGAATGATTGAATCCAAAATTTTTGTAGCCAAGATAAAACCTCTATAAACCAGGGTTTGGGATGAGAAGCAAATAGATTCTTACCTAAGACAAGGCAGAACCATTCCTCTGGGACATCAACACAATGGACTTTTTTTTTTTTTTTTTGCACTGAATGCCAGAGAACCCATATAAAATAAAGACAGAATTGCTTCAGTTTGCAGCACATGAAAGAACACCAATGGTTTGAGGACAATCGTCATACCTAGTTATAAAACCAGATTTTAAACTCGAAGTTACTGACAGATTATAAAATGTTAACAGCTGGATAAACTGTAAAATATGCATTATCTACACAAGAAAAGGTTACAGTTTATAAATACTAAAATACTGTGCCTGTTGGCTGTTAGAGAAATCTTTCCCAGATCCTGATTTCTGCACTGGGTGGGGAAAGAAAAAGGAAAAACCTGCTCTGCTGAGCCTTGTATTTATTCCCAAACAAATGATGTAAACCAACCAAAGCAGAAACTCGCCTGTATTGTCCTGGTGGTAGACATTTACCTATTCCCATACTTAACAAATGAGAGTAGGCAAGAATTCTTCCACTCAGCGATTCCCCTCTTCTTACAAATACCTGGCTCTTTCAGCTTTGTAGGTGTTTTCCAAACAGTGATACAGCATAGGGTCTTTTTTTTTTTTCCTGGAAAGAAAAAGGAAAAGAAGGAAGGAAAGAAAAGTGTCAATGAAGAGGATTCCTCTGGTTCTCTCCGATATTCCTCCAGGGCCTCTAGGTCCTGGCACATCCAAATATAGCAAGATGCTTACTTCTGTTTGGTTAGTTTCTGTTTTCTGCAAAGGCAAGTAAAGGTGACTTCCAAATGTTCAGTGCATTAAAGAAAAGAGAAAGAAAACAGATTTTTAAAAGGAAAAAAAAAGTGCTTGCAAATAATTCTCAGGGATTTATCTTGGGAGGTGAATCCCTGGTGTAGCATCCCCTTGTCTCCTGTACCCTGCCCCTGCTCGCACCTCAGTCCAGGCTCTAAAAGCCTGTTTTTAGGGGGAGTGTAACTTATTTTAGTGGTTTCCAGGGAAAGTTGTATTCCTTGGCACGTGGTCCTTGGCCTCAGAGACCTCACAACTTTTTGGCACTGTCATGGCAAGCAGCTGCCCTAAGGGTGGTGCCAGCCAAGCCCCGGTTGCTCACCCGTCGAACCAGCACTTTGGAAACAGGGATTTTTGTTCTGGGCATCTCACTCCTGGCTGGTTGCTGGGGGGCTACAGGATGGCTAGCTGGAAGGTTTGCAAGATGTTTGATACTTATAGGTATTTTAGAGTCCTTCAGCAAACTGCCTGGGGTTCTCAGAGGACAGGTGATGGTGACTGGAGATACGGGCTTTAGCCGGGACAGGGAGGACGTCTCCTCGCTGGCTGGAGGGGCTGCTGGGCACGCATCAGGATCAGCGTAGAGGTCGTAGAGAGCATCGCCGCTGTAGCTATCCCGGGGGATGGAGGCCTTTTTACTGCCGCTCGTACCCTCTTCCTCTGGGCCTGGAGTGGTGGAATCCCAGTATCCCTCGTCACTGTTGGGGACCCCTTCCTGCTGCTCCTCTGGGTGCTTGGGCTCCTCCTTCGCCTGGAGCTCAACGGGAATACGGTTGAGCCTCCTGCACTTCACCGAGGATTTGTCTTTTGCTGCTTCCACACTCCTGGCGTCTTTGGAGGTGTCGGGTACCACCTTCGTTTCCAGGGCTGCTGCTGCTTTACCCTCTCGCTCTTGGGGCCTTTGTCCTTGGTCTTCGGTCTGGGAAAGCATGTCCCAGAATTCCTGGAGATAGGTGTCATCCACCTCATCGGGGCTTGCCATCTCCTCCCCTCCTCCTTGGTAGGCCACCACCGTGGGGTTCTTTTTAGAAAGAACTGGTTTTCCTGGCCCGGGGGCATGCTTGTCACAGCTGGGACCTGCCTCCTCCTCTTGGTCTGCAATAATATCTCCACAGCCTGTAAGAGAGTCAAAGCTTTTCAGTGAAGTCACGTCAGAAAACATCAAACAAATACGATCAGCCGATGGGTCTGAGGGTGGATCAACAGAGGAAAGGTCTGGGACGGCAGACGCTCGGCCACTGCCACATTCCGAGTCCACAAGGGGGACAGTCTTTATCGGAACGTCACCTGTCCTGGAAGCATCCTCCGCCGTCTGGACCTCCCCAGCACCCAGCTCGGAGGGTGCCCAGGGCTTCTCCGCGCACAGATGCCCCGCGGCGTCCTCTCCCCGGGCGCTTTTGGCTTTAGGGAACCCGGGGCTCTGGGCCTCTCGGCAGTTCCGCACTTCTGCGCTATCCGCGGAGGCCAGCACCGGCTCTCGCGCTCCGAGCTCACCTGCAGAGTCTCGCTGGGGGTCCTTACTGGGGTCCTCCGGCTCACACGCGGGTCTGGGCGTTTCCTCCTTGACGCACTCCAAGCTGGCAGTGAGCGACCCGGGCAGAATGAGGCTCCCCGGGCCCCCCGAGCGCTCGTCCTTCTCCCCCTCCTTGCCCCGCTTGTCCTTCTTATGCCAGCGCATACTGCTGAAGAGCCCTTTCAGTCCTCTCTTTTGTTTGCCGCCCGCCTTGGTTGCATCTGCCTGATCTCCTTTGCCATTTTCGGATCTCCCATTCTTTTTCAAAAGAGAGAAGAAGCTGTGTGACTTAGCCACAGAGCTGTTGGCCAGCGAGGCCACGCTGGTCACGGCAGGTCTGGGGGGACCGGGGTTCGGCCGACCCCCATTCTGACCACCCCCGCCGCCGCCACTGTCGCCCCCTCCGCGCGGCTCCTCCTTTTTGCTGCTCTCCAGCACCACCACCTCAGCTAATCCGTCGTGGGTCCTGCTTCTCACCATTCCCGTCGGACCCGAGCCTTTCCCATCCCCTTTGTTTTTGACCCCAAATATGCTGGGCATGGTGCCACCTGATTTCCTCTTCTTGAATAATTTGAAAGCAGCTTTATTAATCTTCCCCGACGGCGGTTCCGCGGCCGGAGTGTCGGCAGCACAATCACAATGCAAGTCCATGTCTGCCGCGATGGTCCCGGCCCTGGCCGCCTCCTTCCTCCTGCAGACCCCCGCGGACGCGCGGACGCCGCCGCCGCCGCCGCCGCGCTCGCTGACAGCCTCGCCACCGCCACTGCTCCCGCTGGTCTCCATGGAAACCGAGCAGGATAAGCAGCTTTCGTCAGCCGTGGGCTCGCGCCAGGCCACTGTCATCCGTATTCTAAATCAACCTGAGCTGCTCTTGCGGCTGCTGTTGCTGCTACTGCAGCAGCAGCAGAAAGAACACACATAAAAGACCATCTCCACTCCCGCCAAGGGCTTATATAATACCTTAACCCACTTCGGATCCTGCTTGGCTTTGTGCTGCAGGATTTGGGGGGGGGGGGTTTGAGGGGAAGGGAGCGTTTGTGTCAGGAGCAGGCAATAGAGCCTTGAGCTGACTGTAGAAATTATAGTCGCAATTATGAAATTCGAATTTCCTTCCGTTTTACCCACCTTCAGATACCTCTTCTAGACTTGATTTTCCAGAAGCTCAATCATGGATAGCAAAATGTTCCCACCCGAAATGGACAAAGTCCTTAAATTCATTCCAACACAAAATATTTTCTCCTATCCTTAATAAACTTCGTGCATCTCCACTCCTTCAAGCCCTTCATGGACTTCCATATCATTTGGGTATCAAACCCAGCATGCCCACAGTATGTCTGTTCTTATCTGTATCTTGCCCTTGAAAAAGCACCTTGTCCAGGTGGATGCCCAGACCTTCCACTGCCCTTCTGATTCTCATCACAAAAACAACTATCTATCAAATACCAATATCAACTTTGCAACGAACTGGAACCGTTGGGGGTGGGTAGCGGCAGTTCATTGGTCCTTTGGGGCAATGGTAGTTTTTACCTCAGGTGTTTTGACACTGATACTACCATCAGAGAAACTACTGCCTACACACACTGAGAGGGTGAATGATAGTTTAAGAATCTTATGTCCATGCCACAGGTGGGCCTCGGAGTCCAGGGTCAGTTTTCTCCTTTTCCTGCAGAAGGACACAGGTTTTACTCCTGCACTTGCTGCTGCCACCTCACCTTCAACATCTCCACACCCAGGGCTGGCTATAGTCCGGTTCCCCTGTGGGGCAGGTTAGAAACTGCCAGGGGCCCTCGGCACCAGGACACAGCAGCAGCTTTGACCCACTTAATCTGAGGAAAACAAAACCTCACCCCAGGGAACAATCCAATCTGGGATCTTTTCTGTGCTTGAGCTTCCAAGGTGACTGCTAATACTGGAACCTCAGCACTTGGTTTCATTTCCCTGGCTTGAGGGTACAAAGACAAAAACAGATGAAATTTGGAGGAAAAAACATATAATTTATACCTTTTAAATATTATAAAATAGCATTCATCATGCTTATTGTCATTTATGATTTATACTTTAATAACATTTCACATATAGACCAACCTTTTCAGTAATCATCTTAGGCATCACTTTTTTGAGTGCATTAGAACCAGATACCTCAATCCACATCCATTGAAGTTGGAGTTTTGCTAATAACATGAACTAGCCATTGCAACTTCTATAGTATGATGCACGCTTTGAATTTAGGGAGTTACTTGTATAGTTCCCCTTTTCTGTTGATTGTTATCAAGAACTCTGTTTTGTAAAATTGTTAAGGGGAAGGATGTCCTAAAGGAACAGAGTCTTGTGGACTCCATCCCCTACTCCCGATTTCTGGACTCTACCTCCCTACTCCAGTGACTGGAAACTACAACTCCCAGCAGTACCAGGGAGAGAACTGCGAGGACCCAAGGGCGGAGCTAAGCAGAATTCTGGGACATTGGGGGATAAATAGGGCAACATTTTCTACAGCGCGCTCTCCCTCTGAAACGGCACTCTGGACTCCGTGACTCCAAGCTTTCAGTTAGCTTGCTAGAGCTCCATGTCAGCAAAGCGGGTAAGATATTCTAGTTACTTTGTATCCCTCTCTCTTTCGCTGGGTTGTTTCCTTTCCTTTTCCCTTTTGTAAATAAACTCGTACTGACCCTTTTGCGTTTGCCTACAGTACAAGTGAATTTTAAGCGTGCGGGTGAGGCCCCACAGACAGTCGGCCCAGTTCACACTGGGGTGCTCTGTAACAAAGTGACATCAGTGAGTTGAGATTCAGGAGAGGTTTTCCTTTCTAGCATTTGAATCCCATCAACTCTTGCTCACTAAAAGTGGACATCCCTCACCCTCAGTCCTCCTCCAACATCACCCCCCAGAAGACTGTAAAACTAAGACCAAAGAGAGGCTTTAGCCTATTCTGACAGCTTGCCATCATGACCACTGCCAGATGAATCAAGCTCATAGCCTTGAATGATAACTGGTGAGAAGAATGATTAAGAGGAACTCATTTGCTATTTCTTTACAACCTTTCGGAGGACAACTGAAAATATTTCTGCATTCTTTTACACACACGCCATACAATTGCATCTGAAGCCAGCGTGTGCGGTTACGATGATTATAGCTGCTGTTGCTGCTTTTTACTCTGGTAATCCTTAAACCATCGAAAGGGAATTCGTTGACAAGCCCTCATATAAGTAAATGGAGAGAAGCAAGTTTTTATTGAGAGAGTAAAGGAAAGTTTATTTAGAAGAGCAAAAGCAAGGACTCCAAGGCAGTGATGCCAACGAGGGGCAGAAGAAGCCCCAAGGGCTGTGCATAGGGAATAGTTACACCTTTTTCTCTGTCCTAAGATGTCATCATCCTACTTTGTGTTTGGTTCTTTCTCTTAGTGGCCAGATATGCTCCAGGCAGATATGCCCATTTTCCAGCTTCTATCTTAGCGTTTACTACTCCGTCCAAGGTCTCCTAAAATTTACTGCCCCCAGTAGCCTTAAAATTTTGGCCTTGGGGCCCTCCCTGGTGGTGCAGCCCTTCGGGACACAGCACTGCAAGCTAGCTGCAGCTGCTTCAGTGCAAGTTCAATCCCAGCCCGGAGGTGACCCACAAGGCGTGGCAGACCTCTCCTGACCCACCCGCTGCCCCCTTCAGCAGTTTACTTCATCAGTCTGCCTGTCCTGCTTCATCAGTCTGTCTGTCTTTGGTGAAGCCTCTCACCAACCACAACTCTGGCCTGTACTCCAGTTCTGTAAGCATAAATAAATGCATCTTTAAAAAGAAAAATTTACTGTCCCCACTAGCCCTCCTGGATCTCTGACCTCATCTCTGGGATATGGTTTGGTCAGCACCTCTTCTTAGGTAATTTACTGTCTCTATCTCAGAAATCTCCTTAATTCTCCTGAAGTCCCTGTCAGTACTGTCCCTGAAGCTGCCTAATTAACCCTACTTAGCCCTGCAACACACTTAAATATCTGGGTTATAACATAATTGTGTCAATCCAAGAATCTGTGCCTGGAATCAGGGAGAAATGAAGTAGCTTGAAAAGAAATCTCCCCTTTTCACTCCCTGAGACTTTGTGGAAAGAAGGTAGACTTGCTGATCCCCCAGTATTTATATAACTTACTTGAGACTCCCCACCTTCCAAAAAATGTGTTGAGGACTTTGGGATGGAGAGCAGAACTTTGGGACCCAGATACTCACAGAGAAAGAGGTGAATCAGAGATGAAGTAGTCATTCTGGAGGTGAGGCCCACCCATTGGGCTCAAGTAGAAGAAAGTGAGGGAACCCAGACTCTGGAGGCAAGGTGAGCTTTAGAAGCTGTTGTATGAACAAGGGCCCTCAAATATTCTTCAACTGGGATCCTTGTTACAGGACTCTGAAAAAGGAAAATGAGGCTAATAGTTTAGAAGGGACTTTTTCAGAAGAAGCCTTTCACCCAAGACCTAGGAACCTACAGGAGAGGGGGTTGGTTGCAGTCCCAAGGGAACTGTGGTGACAGGCTGGGGACAAAGGCCTTCATTTTAAAGTCTTACAAGGATTTCTCACTCCTTAAGAGGCTTTTCACAGCCAAGCCTGGGGGAAGCAAATAATGCATTTGCACAAAATGGTGACTCTTTACCTTGAAAAATCCAGGGAAGGTTGATTTTTCCAGATGCACCCATATTTGGTTCTGGGTTCTTTTTTCATATTTTCTTCTCTCTCTGGCCCTAATTTAAAGAACTTATATAGAAAATTAGAATGGAAAAGAACAGAGAAAGGAACTTCGGGGAAACATTTCAGGAAAAGTCTGCTACAAAATGATGGTACACTACACAAATGAAAACAGCAAGAGAAGACATGTGTGCTTCTCTCTTTTTGGCTCGAGGGAGCATTTGTCGTTCAGTTAAGGCTCCTCTAGCTGGGTAGCATGTCTCTCTGGAGGAGGGTAATCAAACCAAGAATAAAAAAAACACAGGAGGAGTGGGGAATAGGATCAAAAACGGGGGGGTGGGGGGAGAAGGGAGGGAAATGCATGGGACTATGGTGGTGGCACACGGGTGATTGGTGATGGGAAACCCGCGGGGATTACAATCGAGATGGAAAAAAAAATGTGCAAAATGATGTAAAAATAAACTTTTGTAATAATTAAAAAATAATAAAATAATAAAATAAAATAAAAAAGAATTAAAAATAGAAAACACACACACAAAAGAAACACAGGAGGAATCATTTGAGACCTTATCATCAACATCATCAGTTCTTACTTCAGGGTGTTTTCTAACCAGTCTATCCCCAGTGTTAGTCCTAAGCTTCCTCAGTAGAATTGCCTTTCTTAGGGGAACTATTTCAGAGCAAGGAAAGGAGCACCCTGAAACCCCTAAACCTGCCCACTCTAAATAGGTTCTTTTACCCACTGCATCAAAACAACACATAGAAGTCCTTAATGGAAAGGAACTTTAATAAAATTATTATGCAACAAAGAAAAGACAAAGAATATAGAAGAATATATTCTTCAAATCCAGCATGTGAAGTTACCCATCCCCTCATGGGTAAATATGTAAATATCCAGCCAAACAGGGCTGGCCTAAAGCAGGGCCTCTGGGGCCTGAAAGCCTGCAGAAGTCTAAAGCACCTTCTTTTTTTTTTTTTTTAAGATTTATTTATTTATTCATACAGAACTTGGGCACAAGCCAGAGGTGTAGGAGTGGTAAGAGGCTTCACCAGAGAAAGAGTGGGGAGCAGAACAGGCAGGCTGGCCATGTACACTGCTGAGGGGAGCAGTGGGCAAGACAGGAGAG